TATGTATATTTATATATAATATATATAATAAAGATATATATATATCTTTTAAAATCGAAAGAGATCACAGAATGAGAACCACATCTCGGTTTTCGGAATTGTCTTACCTTCCCTAGCTTCATACACATCAACTTGGAAATTCCTCTTTGCAAGGAAGCATGCATTTAACGATCCAACCTAGGAATCAAAGCAAGTTTCTTTTCACATTTTTATCTGATTCCACCAGTATAAAGAACTTTTACTGTCGTACGTGGCTTGGTTATCACACCAATTTACTTAGTCACTACTAGAATGCACCATTTGCAACAATAATGGCATAATTCAAGATTAAATGTTATAATTTTAGAGATAGATTTCTTTTTCCTTTTTAGAGTGAGGTATAAAATTATACAAAGATCATGTATACAGTTTACAGAATAATTCTAAAGCAAACACACACATAACCATCATTCTGGTAAAAAAAAAAAAAAAGGAAAAGAAAAAAGTAGAACATTGCCACCTGGCTGGTGTGGCTCAGTGGTTTTGTGTTGACCTTTCACTCCTGCTCAGGGCACATGCCCGGGCTGCGGGCTCGATCCCCAGTGTGGGGCGTGCAGGAGGCAGCCGCTCAATGATTCTCTCTCATCAGTGATGTATCTCTCTCTCCTTCTCCCTTCCTCTCTGAAATAACAATATATATATGTTTTAAAAAGTAGAACATTGCTGCTCTCCTAAAGCTGTCCCCACCTCCCCCTCAGTTATGATCCCCAGCCTTTCACCAACAGGTAAACATTATGCTGATTTTTGTGATAACCCGTCCTTGCTTCTTTGGAGTTTTACCGCTCAGGTATGTATCTCTAGGCCAGTGGTGGGCAAACTGCGGGTCGCGAGCCACATGCAGCTCTTTGGCCCCTTGAGTGTGGCTCTTCCACAAAGTCCCACATGTGGGCGCGCACGGACAGTGCAATTGAAACTTCATGGCCCATGCGCAGAAGTCGGTATTTTGTGGAAGAGCCACACTCAAGGGACCAAAGAGCTGTATGTGGCTCTCGAGCCACAGTTTTCGACCACGGCTCTAGGCAATTTGGGTTGATTTTGCTTGCTTTCAAATCACATAATTAGA